AATTTTTTAATATTCATTTTTTAGTTCTCAGCGGACACAACATCTTTGTTGGTATGTGGTGCTGAGGATCGAACCCGGGCCGCACGCATGCCAGGCAAGTGCGCTACCGCTTGAGCCACATCCCCAGCCCTGGCCTGACCTCTTGACCTCTTCAGCTTTGGAGGGCACCAATCCCTTCCTGGACAGCTGTCCTGTCTCACTGCAGGCCACTATCTTCTCAGCTTCACTCCCTGAATTAGGAAATCGCTGACAGCAAACTTCAGGAACTAAGGTAATGGTTCAAAAACTTGAACATGCATCAGAATGAGGGGGCCTCCACCCAGAGTTTCTGATTCAGTGGTCTGAAGTGGGCTCAGGATTTGTATTTCTAATTATGTTTCCAGTACTTGCTGCGGCTCCAGGAACCAGACTTTGAGCTACCACACCAAGGCAACAAAGACTGGCTAGTTGATTGGCCCGTGAAGATGCTTGCCAGAATTCAATGCTGGCCTTAGGAGTTTGACTGAAGATATTCTATGCTGGCCTTAGGAGTTTGACTGAAGATATAACTTCTGAATGAGTTTTACCTTTTGCAGGTTTTGGTGTACTCAATATTATTAATTATGGATTCGACTCCACTATTGCCTCAGGAAGAAGTTTGGAAAGAATTCCTTCCTAATCCTTTTACATAAAAGCAAAGTTAAACAAACAACCTTGAAAAATAATTAGCCTTTACCATTGCTACTACCAAAGAATGTCTACTCAAGGCTCAGGAAGGCCTATCATAGCAAGTAAACTATATTCATGTGTTTTTGTTTGTTTGTGGTTTTGGGGATCAAACTCAAAACCCAATTGATTCTTTTTTAAGACTGGTTTTCAAGCTAACTGCAAGCTACAGTAATCAATATTGTAAAGGACTAGCATAAGAATAAATATATAGATCAATGGAATGGAATAGAAATGAGAGTCCAAAAATCAGCCCTCATATTTATAATCAAATGACACACAATAAAGGTACCAAGACAATTCACTGGAGGGAAATAGTCTTTTCAACAAATGGTGTTGGTCCATTAACTGACAAATAGATAAAGAAAATATGGTATATCCATAAAATGGAAGATATTGCATAATGAAAAGTAAAAGTGCTGATATATGCCATAATATATGGATCTTAAAACAATATGCTAGTTAAAAAAAAACACTAGGCACAAAGACCATATTTTGTAAAATTCTATTTATCTAAAATGTCTAGAACAGGCAATGCATAAAGACACAAAATAGATTAGTGGTTACTCAAGGCCTGGAATAGGTGGAGGGGAATATTTAGGGGAAAATGCTAATGTGCATGATGTTTGTTGGATGATGAAATTTCTTTAAATTGTGGTAATGATCTTCAGGACTATGTAAATACAAAAACCCAATTATACATTTTAAATGGACAAATTGAATAGTATGCAAATTATATTTCAATATATCTATTAAAACAAAATAAGGGGGATTGGAGTTATAGCTCAGTAGTAGAGGACTTGCCTAGCATGTGTGAAGTACTGGGTTTGAATCTCAGCACCAAATATAAAAAAATAATTAAATAAAGGCCCATCAATAACTAAAAAAATATTTTAAAAAAGAAAATAAGGATGGCTAGAATGGAACTCATATATTCCTAAAGGGGAGCTGAGTTTTCACCTTTAAAGCAAAGGTTTGAATGAAAATGATTCTTAATGTGAAAAGGTACTGTTGTCTTTGGATGGAAAGCAGAGGAAAAAAGAGAGTAAGTTACGACAATAAAATTTTGTAACTAAGTAAAAAGAATTAAAAACTAAGAGGTACATAGCTTTTTAAGAGCTGAACCTTGAAAAATACCTAAAACATATATAAAACTATATATAAGTTTGCAAATATGTTGGATGAGCCAGAAGGAAAGATAAAGAAAATGTAACATCATTTGAGTTTTAACTTTTACACATTAAAGCTCTATATTAACAAATAATCTTAAGCTATACCCAACATGACCTAAAAATTTTTAGAAAACTGGGTTCAAAAAACAAAAACACTTTTTAGTCATTAGACTTACCACTCGGCTGAAGTACTCGTCTAAAACTTCCACAAAATTGTGGATGAATTCATAAATCGCCATCTCATTCTGAAATAAAAGAGGAAGATGCAATGAATTTTAGCATGGCCCTCAAGCAAATCAGACACAGAAATGGCCAGTCAGTTCCCAGGTTTTAGAGCATGTGACCAAGGGAACAAATGTGAGCAAAGTAACTTTCCATTGACCAATATTCAGAACAGTTCTACTTCTCCCTTATTTAAAAGATGCTTATTAATGAAAGAAATGGAGAAGACCTTAACCTCTAAGATTTCTTTGTGGTCAATGTTGAATCTGACTCAACAGAAACTTCAGATTCCAGTGTCAAGGCTTTGTGCTCTACTTCCTGACTTCATCACCTACTGGCTCAAGCATTTTCCAGATTCTTTGCACCATCATTTTTCTGTCTGTGAAGATGGGGAAACCACTCAAAGTGCCTTAAGGATAAAAGCAATCAACTGAGATTTCAGAACATTTTATATTTGAAATACCTGGAACTGGGATGAACACTCCTGAAGAGGAACTAACTTTAGGAGATATAAACATAGGACAATCATATAATCAGTTTGCTCTGATTTTTGATATGTAAGCCCATGTTCAGTGTCATAACTGATTGGCCTCTGTTTGTCTGAGCTACCCCACTATCTGACAGAACAAGAGCAAGGCACTGGACTTGGTTATGATAAAGGAAGACACTAGCTAGATGTGGTGGCATATACCTATAATCCCAACTATTTGAGCCCTCAAATTTGACACCAGCCAGGGAAACACAGTGAGAAATTGCCTCAAAAAAAAAAAAAGTAAAAAAGCAGAACAGAAAAACTGGAAGGCATCTGGGATGTGACTCAGTGATAGAGTATTTGCCTAGCATATGTGAGGCCGTGGGTTCAATTCCCAGTGCTGCAAACAAACAAACAAACAAACAAAAAACAAAACCCAGAAGGGCATTCTGGGGTTTTAAGTTTCTCCATTTTATAAGCTGCTCATGTAATCCAAACAAACATCCTACATATATCTCTTCCATAGAACTTTCCCACCTTGATAGAAACCAAGATCCTAGAGAAGTGCTGTGGTACATGCCTATAATCCCAACTACTGGGAGGCTGGAGAATTGTACATTCAAGTTCAAGGATCGCAACTTAGTTAGACCCTGTCTCCAAAAAAAAAAAAAAAAAAAAAAGTAGGGACGGGTTTGGGGGATAGTATGCAGCTTGATAGAACACTTGCCTAGCATGCTTGAAGCCCTAGGTTCAATACCAGCACTACACCAAATACATTCTGGAAAAGAGTCATAACAATTCTTAGGCCAGTAGGAAGAAAATGTCAACATAGGGAGGAATAAAGATCAGACTGTTATCTCTAAGTATCTTGTATTTTCCAAATACTCTCAGTATCTTACCTCAGTGTCATTAACTCCAACCACAATGAAGAGAGCTGCATATTGCCGATATATCAGCTTAAAATCCTTATATTCAATAAAAGAGCACTAGATGAAACACAATTAGATATTAGTACCTTTGGTTGATAGAGACTTCTCCAAAATGGCATGCATAATTTCTAGGTTCAGGTTGGAGTATCTGCCAATACACTCCAAGAAATACATAACATTCTCATAACATTCAGGGGACTACTTGGAAGCATCTCGAGGGGGAGTTGGAAAAACAGTCTGGGAAAAAAGTGAGTATCACTTGGGTTCTCACATGTACTCCTCATTCCTTTACTTGGCTATGTGGAAATCAGCAGCCAAAGCTAATGAATAACCAGCATTTTAAATTGCCTTCAATGTGAAAAGATTTTCTTTTTTCCATTTCCTTATGGATTCTTGGGAAGCAATTAGATAAGCTTGATTTGTATTTGTTAATAATCACTGAGGAGCCACATACAAGAAGTGAGTGTGTGTGTGTGTGTGTGTGTGTGTGTGTGTTTCTTTTTCCTAGATGTATAAAAATAATTCATGTAGATTCTTTTATAAATTATTTAAAGATGGCCTTCATGTGAAAGATGTTATACAAAATTTCCCAAGGTAAACACTGTTTTGTATGAATTCATAACAAGCTTATACCACTGACTTGTGGACAAAACAACTCCCTTCTCCTTCATCTATTTTCCTAAAGCCAGTGGACAAAGGCATTGGGTGGATGGGAATTAGCCTGCAGGCTAAAGACACAGTAATACTCTTCCTTTGAATGTCAGAGGGTACCTGCTAAAAGGTGACTGAGCACCAACTGTATGGCTTTTTGTACTGTGATCTGTTGCTCTTGGGTTCCCAGATGCACGGAGGAATAAAGCCTTAAGGTTTTGTTTTGTTTTTTTTTAAATTGTATACTTTATTTATTTTTATGTGGTGCTGAGAATCAACCCAGCACCTCACAGGTGCCAGGCAAGTGCTCTACCACTGAGCCCCAGCCCCAGCCCCAAGCTTTAAGTTTTGAGTATAAAAATTCTTCCATGGAAAATGCCTTTTGGCAATCTATAAAATGGAGAAAATTGAAGCTTTTATTTAAAATTAGGATACAGGTAAAAAGTATAGGATCATTCTGCAACTTTTGGCTCAGTAAGGTCACTGTTATTTCCATTTGGTTGGCTCTTTCAAGAAAATGCAATTTATTTGAAAAAAACGGAAAAACATTTTTTTTTCCACAGTCTCTTAGGAGTTTCTAATATTAAAAAAAGGTATCAAGAACTTTTGTGGGTAAAATAATGACTATGTTGATATTAGGATATTTTGTAACCTCATTATGCCAAAAGCCTAGTAGCTACTGGGTTTTTATTTTTGGTTTGTTTTTTGGATACTGGGGCTCTAACCATGGGGTGCTTTAATAGTGAGTCACATCCGAAGCCCTTCTTATTTTTTATTTTGAGACAGGGTCTCACTAAGTTGCTGAACCTGGCCTTGAATTCACAATTCTCCTATCTCAGCCTCCCAAATTGCTGGAATGTACCACTGTGTCCAGCACAGTGGGTTCTTTTTAAAATCTAAAATAACAGTATATTTCAAAAATACCTAAGAGTATATATATATATTTAGTCCAAAGCCTGTATTTCAAAGGGTTAACTATGAGTATGAATGATGTTTGAAATTGTGGAGTGCCTGCATTCTGCAGAAATATTGAAACAGGAATGCTTCTAAATGTGTTTACTTAAAGCATGTGGCTATTAACAGCCCTGTAACAGTTGTTTCCATCTGACACCATAAACCAGTGTGCCACAGAAGGCCAAAGTAGTAATTCAAAGAGGAACTCTGAGATGTTTCAATTGGAAAATCAATTTAGAAGCCAAGGGAAACACATTTGCAACATGTAATGTCTGAGCACTGATTAGCTTAACATTTTATGGCTTAGTAGTGGTTTCTACAGGCAGTCTTTCTATATATGCAATGAAATGGAGAATGAAGAAAATTAAGGAATGATTAATTATCATTAATAATGATAAGCTTTCTGATTTTGCCTCAGTTGTTGGGTGTTTTCCTATAGATTTGACATTTAGGACCTGGATTTAATAATTCTCTGAAGTTCTCTGTGAAAACAGACTCAGTTTTTTTTTTAATTTTTTAATATTTATTTTTTAGTTTTCGATGGACACAACATCTTTGTTTGTATGTGGTGCTGAGGATTGAACCTGGGCCGCACGCATGCCAGGCGAGCGCGCTACTGCTTGAGCCACATCCCCAGCCGAAGACTCAGTTTTAAAAATTCCTTTTCATGGGCTAGGATGTAGCTCAGTAGAAGAGTGTGTGCTTAGCATGCACAAAGCTCTGGGTTCAAGCCCCAGAATCCCTACCTCTAATTCCTATTTGTTATTCTAATACTTTTATTTAACCACCAAATTTTGGCAGGATAGATTTGCTATTTCACATGAATTTTTAACTTCTATTCCCCCATCTACATAATAAAATAGTTAAGAGCAAGTTCATTTTGCCTTTAAATCATTGGTGATATATTCATAAGAATGATAAGCAGATAAAAATTATCCTCTCCACAGGAATCATGTTATTATTCTCCAGTACAAAATAGGTTGAATAGTCACCTCCACGACAGCCACCTGACCTTCATTTTTTGGCTTCAGAAAGCCACCTGCTATAGGCACTCCTAACAGTTCCAAGGATTAAATTCATATGAACAAAAGAAAGATTATATGTACTAGCAGGAGTAAATTTAGCTGCCACTTTCATGGTGAACTGAGACAAATATACTAAATAACAACCCAAGACTTTTCCTGGTTTTTCTTGTATTTATTCTCTTAAGGAGATATAAAGAAAGCTATGCTTCCTTTCATTTTCATTGTATTTCATTCCTTATTTTCCCTAATAGCTGTTGAAGGAATACAGTCCAGAGAAAATGATGGCCCTTGAGACTAAGTAATAACAGATCTGTCAAGGCTGAGTTGACTGCAGAGATAAAAGAGTGCTTCAGAAACTTACCTGTTCATTGGATCGAGAGAGACAACTCTTTATGACTTCTGTTTCCAGAAGTGTTCGCTTATTAATCTCCACATGCTCATAGTACTTAGAAAGTCGGGTCTGGCCTTGTTTATTCACCATAAGGAAAAATTTTATCATTTTTTTTCCTGGCCAGTGTTTTTCCAAATACAGTTTAAAAGTTATAGCAAGGAATGGCTGTCATTGGAACCTGGAGAATAGAAAAATAACAGAAAGATAAGATTAAATTTCTCAATCATATTAAGTCTGTTCTATAGATGAACCAGAAGTAAATAAAATATCATTTGATAATATTGGTCTTCACTCCTACAAACAGAATAAGGTTTTAATTAATAATAACCAAACAAATTTTCATTAGTTATCTTCTGAATCACTTTTCAGCATCCAAATACCGCTACTCATATTCACTCAATTTATTAATCTGTTTTTCTGGACACCAACTTTGTGTTAAGTATCAGAAGAATAGGGAGATGAAGAGGTGATGTTTTTGATCTTCCAACTTTTACACTAAATAAAGGTGCTAAACAGATAAATAAATATCAGTAATACAAAGTGATGAATTATAACTGGGGCCATGCGTTTGCTTAGGAGCACAGAAGGAAGGAGCAAGGAATGTTGCAAGAGAGTCAAGAAGGACTTCCCAGAGAGGGGAATTTGAGCAACTTCTTGAAGGATGATCTAGAAGGAGAGGCTTTAGGTTGAGAAAAAAGCTCTGGAAAGTTCACTGGTTTCAGTTCAGAGGACAACAAGAAAGGTCTCAGAAAATTAAGCTGCTCATATATGTTAAAAGGGAGGGAAAGATCACTATAGGGCTTGGTCACCCCAATGAACATTTACAGCTATCTTAACAATGCTGGTTGGAAGATGACTCCGAAGAGTCAGTCTGAAAAAGACTCAACTGTTAGAACATCAGGTAGAGGATGACTTAACAGGGCTTGATCTACTTTACCTTCTTTAAGTATAAAACATTAAATATTTGTTTTGACGAGACATCCATATATGTTTGAAAGTGAAGTTAATAATCCACAGTAAACTAAGCTCTACTGAAATAAGCAGATTGCATGGAAGAATTGTACTTTTGGCAAATGAATGGTTATGGAACTAATCAGAATCCTAGATAAGTACAGAGCCTGGGACTTAGCTATTTTGTCCAGTGTACAACTAACTGTTAGTTGTACACTGGACAAAATAGCTAAGTCAAGTCCAACACCAGTGTTTTTATTTAGGGTTTTTGATTGCTTGAAATAAGAAGAATGTGTCACCTAAAAGTTTATACTACAATAAGACAACCTGGGGCTAGGGATATAGTTCAATTGGTAGAGTGCTCGCCTTGCATGCACAAGGCCCTGGGTTCAATCCCCAGCACCATCAAAAAAAAAAAAAAAAAAAAAATGACAGACCTGGCTCTCAGATCATAGCTTTGCCACATACCTGCCATGCCATGTGACTCCAAGTTGCCAGGCCTTTCTGAACCAAGTTAGATGACTATGTGTAAGGTATAAGAGTGAGAGGAGATCACATGCATTCACCAAAAGGTCTAAATGGCCTGGTATTTACGTGGTGCAACTAGAAACAACATTATGGGATAATATTCATCCTAAATTTTCTATTATTATTTTTTACCCTCCCAGCTCCTCTCTTTTTTTCAGAGGAGGTACTAGGTATTAAACCCAGGACCTTGTACATCCTAGGCAAACACCCTATACCACTGAGCTACACCTCCACTCTAACATCTTTTATTTCCTAAACCCTATCAGACAGGTGGCTACTCATAATTCCAAACACTATGCTATAAAGAGCCAGGCCCCACATGGCAAAGCCTGGGGTTGCAAGCCTTCATTCACTGTGCAGAACAGGATGTTATCTAGACCAGCTCAGCCAGGGATATGACAGCTGGGCTGTGGGGGAGGCCTGTGGTCATTCACTCCCTTTTCCAGGAAGATAAGCTCACTACACTGTGGGCGGGATTGCGACAGTCTTCATGGTATTTGATCATTTGGTATTAAGTGTTACTTTTATTCTCCTTACAAATTATTGCTAGTACATTATAGTAGGTGACTAGGAAGCTAAGATTATCATTCATTCCTTCTTTCTTTTTTTCTTTTCTTAGACTTTTTTTTTTTTTTTGGTGTGTAGTGTTGAGGATTGAACTCTGGGGCATCCTTGTACATGCGAGGCAAGCACTCTACCAACTGAGCTATATCCCCAATCTCTTTTCTTTCTTTTATTCCCATTTAGCAAAGTTGTTTTAAAACTAACTCTATGATAGTTAAAAATTATAATCATATATTTAGATTTCAAGTGCCAGATTAAAAAAAAAACTCTGAAAGATACTCATCACCAAACCTTGGCTTTCAATGACCTGGCAGAATTAAATGGTAAAATGAGTTGTAAAATGATCCCAATGAGATGTTACACCAAGGGATCAAATTGGTTTCCACCTTACAAGACCAGCATTCCTTCTCACTGACCTTAAGAGCAAGGACAACAAACAAGGACATGTTAGTTCATACTCATTAGGACGAAAACTTTCAATAGAACATCTAAAGGCACCTAAAGACTTCAATACATCTTTGTTTTTCTGCGCGCTCATAGACAATTACACAATTTACAATTATAGGATTACCTGGTAGTAATAAAATGGAGAAGAACAATTGTATTCCTTTTCTAAAATATATAATGCCAAAACAATGTGGAGATTTAAGAAAGAAATACATGTTTGTGAACTGGAGATGAATGCTATAAGCACTTATTCCGGTTAGTAATCATCAGGAAGGAGGGAGATCAAATAATTATGGAACTGAAGACAATGAGAAGGAATATGCTCAAATATGGTGAGTGGTCAGGGAGCAGGTATGAATTTCCTGTTTATAAATTCGTTGCATTCAGTAATATACAAGGCCAGGGAAGACAGTCTAATCACCAGAAAGTAAGTAGATTGTAGACTCAAAAGCTTGTGTGAATATATATGAAAAACAAGGAAGAATAAATAAAGAAAAAGGCATTAGGGAAAGTACAATATAAAGGATGCTAGGATGCCCTAGCAGAGAATCTAGATGAAAGGAAGGTAAATCAAACAAGAATTTTCCTTGGTTTGGCATGAACATGCTTTGAAAGTCAAGATGAGTGAGACTGGTAGATTCATAGCAGAACATGTCCATTTCCCAGGATCCTACATGGCATAAACTTAATACTCAGAGAAAAGACAGAAGTACATATTAAACTGGGCAGTTTTCATATTTGTGATGGTGTCTTTCTGGGAGTTAGAACTGGAAGTCTTTACAGACTGTCGTCTAAAGATGGCAAATAGGTCTTGACTTGGGTGCTGACTAACTACAATGAGCTGCCCTGGGAGGATTCTGGAGCTGCATGGAAGTTCAAAACAAAGGATCCTATGAATGATTACTGTTGGTGTGGGTTAGGAAATAGGGAGTGACAACATATGCACCTTATATTTGTCATTCCTGATGTGTACTCTCTTCATTTTGCAGATGTAGAATGAAATCCTGAATTCTGATCTCCTGACTCATAATGCTGTCTTTAATTTATCACATTGCCTTTTTGCCTCACTCAGTGTATTACTGGCATGAAACTATCATTTACATTTAATAATGTTGCTATTCTCTTTTCTAATGCTTCTGCACAATAAATCTGGAAAATATCAAATAAATCACTGCATGAAAGAGTAGAACATGTTAGGTACAGTGGTGCACACCTATAATCCCAGCTCAGGAGGCTGAAGATAGTGAATTCAAAGCCAGCCTCAGCAAAAGTGAGGTGCAGAGCAACTCAATGAGACCCCGTCTCTAAATAAAATACAAAATAGGGCTGGGGATGTGGCTCAGTGGCCTAGTGACCCTGAGTTTAATCCCTGGTACCTTCCTTCCAAAAAAGAGTAGAACATGTAGCTTCTAGAAATAAAAGTGATTAAATATATCATATATATATATATATATATATATGTAGTTGTAGATGGACAATACCTTTTATTTATTTATTTTTTGTTTAAACATTTTTATTTTAGTTGTAGATGGACATAATATCTTAAACTTATTTATTTATTATTTATGTGGAGCTAAGGATTGAATCCAGCCTCACACATGCTAGGAAAGCACTCTACAACTAAGCCCCAGCCCCAGTTCCCCTTTATTTTTATGTGGTGCTGAGAATTGAATCCAGTGCCTCTCAGATGCTAGGCAAGTACACTACCACTGGGCTACAACCTTGGCCCCAAGATACTTAATTATTTTGAGCTCAGTCTCCTGTACAATGTGAATAATAATAGTACTTACCCACTAGGTTGCTGTGAGGGTTAAATGAGTTAGGATATGTAACATTCTCAGAATAGAGCTCAACAGGTGGCAGGCAGCAAATGATAAAGGGCCAACATTATAAATAACATATCACTTTCCTTGGTGAATCCTTTCCTGCCTATTCCAGTCTCCTTTCCATCTACAAAGAGCTAATTATCCTGTCTATAATGTATGTGATTATTATTATTTGATTACATGTTGAAGTCTTCTATAAGAACTGTGATTCAGACTTTTTTGAGGGGTACTGTGGATTTAACCTAGGGGCACTTAACCACTGAGCCATATCCCCAGCCCTTTTATATATATATATATATATATAATTTAGAGACAGGATTTGCTGAGTTGCTTAGGGTCTTGCTAAATTTCTAAGGTTGGCTTTGAACTTGTGATCCTCCTGCCTCAGCCTCTGGAGCTGCTGGGATTACAGGAGTATGCCACCATGCCTATGTGAAACTTTTTTATTATGACTATGACAAAGATATTTTATGTTGTGATCCACTGTACAGATATGTATATATCTGAAACAAAAGTTCACAAACACTACTTACCCATACTACTTATATTGCACTCTGATTTTTCAAAATGACATTTCATTTTGTAAAAATACATAGTTGTGAGGGATTTCTGTTACACAGATGTATGGATTGCCAGAATTCAGCAAATATAAAGACTGATATAATTCATTATAAGTAAATTTTATACCAGAAGAAAACCAGCTACAATATTTTTTTTTCCTTTCCAGTATATTGGGGATTAAACCCAGGGGTGCTCAACCACTGAGCAACATTCCCAGTCCATTTTTAAATTTTTTATTTATTTTGAGTCAGTGTCTCATTAAGTTGCTAGGCTGGCCTCAAACTTGTGATCCTCCTTCTTC